ACATGAAATTTCAATTTACAGAATCTTACACAAACTTACGTAAAATTACGTAAAATTACTGTAATTTAACAACCCTACCTCCACCATCTGATGAAATTATAATTTTACCATCATCATCGTCACTACCATCACTACTATCATCACCATCACTATTATAATCACCACCACCATCAGCATTACTATTATTATCGTCGTCATCGACATCGTTGTCATCATCATCAGCATCATGATATTCGCTATCATCATCGCTATCATTACAATTTCTGTAGTATTTTCATGCTCAGCCGCATTTTTATTAGTTGTTGAAAACTGACCACTAATATTACCACTCACATTTGATGCATTGTTTGGGTCTCCATCATTATCATTGGCCTTTACTAAATGGTATACGACTTCAAATTCATGATTAAACAAACCCCAAATTTTTTTCATAACTGATTCCATGAGAGGATTTGCAACCCAATAAGCGATATAATGCATGTAATAATCGCTCTGAAATTTGGTTCCCACTGCGTATACAGTATGTGAATCCAAAATGTTATCAATTTTATCTTTCTGGCTATTAATTAGTGAAAACAATTGTTCAGCTTCAGTAATTGCGATGTCCGAAGGTCTTTGTGAAATAGTTGAATATACTGATATGTGCTGCGAGACGTCGTTCTGAACTTCTGATTTATTACATAGTTTCATACCATTCACGTTATTACAAGTCTTAGACTCATTATTAATAGTAATAACGTGCGTAGAATAACTGATGTGGTCGAAGGCTCAGTACTATTCAAAGCTAATTCTTCAAAATCAGTAAGTGATCCTTCATATCTGCTCGTTCTTTATTAGTGATAATTATAAAACATCGATGAATAGTTTATAAACTATATAATTAGAATAAGATTTTATTTATACTCATAATCTAGTCGTCATAATTAATCAGAAAAATGTTAAAAGATTATTCAACGATAGAATAAAATTCAAATAAATTTTACACTCCCAAACTAATCGTTACACCGATGGTAAAAATAATATGCAATTGTTTATTTTCATATTTAAAATGTCAATGGAGACCAAAATTTATACTCACTTGTCAGTAATTTCTTTTTACTCATAGACAGGTTGTCATACAAAGTCAGAATTTCTAGAGCCTTTTTATTTTTACTTTTAGTCGCTAATGTTAAATAATTCACATCTTTGGGCACATTGAATTTTTTCGTTCAAATAGAATCTCCCATACAGTACATTGCGTTAGCATTTTTATTTTCAGCTGCTAATTTTAAATAACTCAACACACGCTCTTCATCTTTAATTACTTAAAGTTTCCCATTCAAGTAAATATCTCCTAAATCATACATTGAATCAATATTTTTGTTTTCAGCTGCTAGTTTAAAATATCATATAATCTCCTCGCGATTTTGAGCTTTCGCAGATTTATTATTTTCTATTTTAGAAAGCAGCATAATTGCATATCGATATTATGATTCAATTTACAGCTTCTTTGTAAAGTTTCATGGCCTGATCTAGATCCTTTTCTACAACATACCCGTTTTGGTAATAATATCCTTGTCAGAACTTTGCTAATAGAAGATCGGAAGTTTGTTGGAAACATTTCCATGCATCTTCATGTTTCCCTTCATTATGCATCTTTATTCCAACTTCAATAGATATTACAATATCATCTTACTCAATAATTTCTTCAGTATCATCGAATTTTGGACACAAAGATTCAATAGGAACTTGATTTGTCCGTTCATCAACTTTTATTTCCGACTTTAGTAACAAAGGAACTTGATCTTTTGTTCCTTCAAAATCTAATTCATAATTCTGTAAAAGTTGTGATGCATTAGGAAGAAGTGGGTATTTTCCAGCTAATTTATCAATTTATTAATTCTGTCAAAATTGGACCTTTTATTATAACCTTTTTAAATTATAGTTTGATTTTAACAAAAAAAATTTTTGCTTAAAGTAACAAGACTTCGCTAATTATCAATCTTGATCTGCACTAACAACAAGTGAATTTCAAAAATTAAGGTGATTTCGTCTACATTGGAGTTTTAAAAATCAATGACTAGACATCTAATTTTGAATAAAATGAACCATTTATTCGGATACTCAATGAATATTCGAATGTTCGGTTACAAATGAGTGATAGAACTTTTTTGGTTTTACATTTAAATAGACTTAAACATGAACCAATGTCATTTTAAGATGTATATATGTTATGCATCATTCTTCAATTGTTGTCATTTGTAGATTAAAAAACATGTTATTTTGCAATTAAACTTATGCCAATGTCACACAACTTTACGGCAAGCCATCTAACTAACATCAGAATGACAATTTAGCATTTATGGTCGCTGTGTGATGTCAGTTACATTGTCTGTTAGTGAAATGACCATAGGGAAATTGATACGTACGCACGTACGTAAATGTACTAAACACGTTATCACTGGCTAAAATAATATGCCCTGAAGATCTTCCGAAATTAAAGTTTGATAAGAACAAGTTTAAAGGCTTGGATTAAAATGAACATAAGATAGATTTGGCCGAGGATAATTGAGAAGTATTATGTCATAGAGAATAAAAGTGAATCATGCTCAAGCCTCTAATAGTCTTTTAAAAAGTTATTTAAAGTAACTTGATTGAAATTGGTTACAACACTCATGCGTGAGGTAGGGCACATAGTATACTAACTCGATATTAAAACCCCTATTGCCTGAAATTACTAATACAACTATTGCTAAATCACCAACGTCACCCCCTGGTGAGTATGAGTCTGTATCACAGTCTAAACAATTTCGCACATCATATGATCGTATTGCAAAACCAATAAGAAATTCCGCTAAGAAAAAACATTTCGCTATTAGTACGGTGTTTCATATGGGTCAAAACGTGCTATTTTTTTGAAAATTCAAAAATTGAAAATTTCGAAAAATTGAAAAAATATGAAATTTGAAAATTTTGAAAATTTGAAAAATGAAAAAAAGTTAAAACTCTAAATATAGTAATTTAATTACTGTATATAAAATATAGGTTGTACAGATTACGTGACTTTAAATTGTCCTAACACATGCTGTGAGAAAGCTAAATTTAATGTCACGTAATTATATTAAATATTTGGCAATTAAATTACCATATTTAGAAATTTCAATTTTTTAAAAAATTCTAAATACAGTATGGGGATCGCTGAAGCCTTGTACCCACGTGATTTTGAAAGTTTAATTATAACTAAGTTAGGATTAGTTTAGTGTTTAGGGTAAAGGTAAATATAAAAGTAAAGTTGCCTTCCTGGCATTTTTTATTGATGCACGAAGACAGGTTTAAACTGTTTTTTTATATCTTTGCGTTTTTTGATTATTTAACTTCTTCAGGCTGATTCGTGTAAGCAAATTTCATGATTTTTAATGGCTGATCTACATATTAAAAGTCGCGTAGATACAAGACTTCAGCGGACGAGCGTCCTTATCTGCATCTTCTAAATGTGATTGGTTCACTTACGTACAGTGGCCTCCGAAAGTATATAATAGTTACACAAAAAAACATAACATAAATTCATGCAAATTCATAATTTACATCATTTCATGCCAAATCGTATTATTCAAATTATTGAAAATGGAGGTTATAGTTGCAAATATTGATGTAGTATATCAATCCGGTATCGATATGTATTGCAATAATTACATATTTATGTATTGCATATTATTAATTTGCTAATTTACGTAATAATAATATATTATTCAATTTGCTTATTTACAAAATTTATGTTATGTTTTTTTAAATTTGTTATGTTTTTTGTGTAACTATTTTATACTTTCGGAGGCCACTGTACAAGCCATCGAACTATAAAATTTTTTTCGAAGGCCCTTTTAACTTTCTGAATTCTACACTAGTATGCAAGTCGACTACTTAATAGGTCATCAGTTAATCATCCAAGTTAATTGATTTGAGTCGATTAATAATAAAAGTCAATTCAAAAATTGTGTAATTGTTGAGATATTACCGTTATAGGTTAATAAAATAGTAGTCGTTTGGATTTCATCAGATATATAACAGATACAACAAAATGTGATCTAATTTCTTAATTCAGACATATTTTAATACTAACCTTAACGATAATGCTGTGTCATTAAGGTTAGTGCTAGTCGTTAGCTGCTGTGACTGTAGCTTTTCCCTAAAAAATAGCCGAACATAGTTATGCGATAGGTTCGAATTCAACTTTACTCCTAAATCAAATCCAGAGTTAAGTCATTAGCGTTAACATTCTAGTAACTCATACCGGTAGGGCTGAGTTACATTACACGAGATTTACGTAAATTTCAGAAATAAAAATTTCATGTAATTTTCATCACGTTATACATAAAAGTACTAGATTTAAAAAAGTTTGGCGGTATTATTGTATCGTTTGATTTATGTACGATTCGAATTGTAACTCCTAAATCGCCGCAGAAACCAAACGTTGACACCAGAGAACCGGTCTCGGCGTGTCGGTCACTTCTCAAACGGATACGTCGTGTAACCTACGAACGGCTTAGTCGATAAGAGGCGGTTAGATTTGGCGAGTGGTGTATTTATGATCG